ATAACTAAGTACAGACTTCTCTTATACCTGCTCGCTTCTGATCACGTGTCCGTACAGAAGGTATATCACGTGGTCGAAGATCACGTGATCCTCTTCAGTAGAGATCACGGGCGCAGCCCTTTACAATACTCCCCTCCTCCACTCGTACGGACATGTTTGCGTTTGTTTGTTTTCCTAGGAGCACGCGGCTGCCTAACTTGCGGTGGAGCAGCGGCGTTTGTTTGCTCTAGTGAAGGAGGATTTCCACGAGAGCAAACGCTCCCTCCGTACGATATGTAGAGCTGCCGTCTCTCTCCTTCAGCTTTTTCTTCCTTTGTGTTAAATCAATTTGACTCCACTACTACACAGATTTCTTCTTTTCTTTCTGACCACACTCGTACGATGCCGCCGAAAGCGCAACCACCCCCTCGCGGTGTTTGGGCCAACGCAAACACCAACAGTTTGCAGTTTTGCACTGACGGTGGCCCCAATGACACTATTAACAACGTGGCTAACCAAATCTTCGACGCTGCCCACCAGGCTCTGACTCGTACGACGCTAGGCGCTGTACTGCCAACTTTCAACATGCTAGGCGCTGTCAACCTGAACGAGTATCGTGTCTAGTTTATCTTCGATCAGCGCGTCGCAGATGAGCTGCGCCGTGTTTATGCGGTTGCCCCTGTACGTAATACTTTTCTAACTTCTTGTACGGCTGGTGTTAACTTGCGTAGGAGGACATTCGCCGTGTTTTTGACTACTTCTGTCGCCCTCGCGGCAACAGTCCGTACGATGCTGTCTTCGGTCCGGGCCCTCGCGACTACTCGCCTGTGATCGCACGTACGACTATCACTGCTCGGCAGATTCTCACTGGCCGTCCGTCCTACCTCAAGGCCTTTGTTGTGTATAGCCGCGGCGCTCTCAACGCGGCTTTTTGTACGAATAATTGCGCCGCTGTTCTGCGAGGCGAGAAGGAGTTTACCGCATTCGCTGGCTGCGTGTCCATCGCCGGTGAGTGGGGTGGAGCCTGCTCTAACTGCGTCTGGCAAGACCATGGAGCTCGTTGCAGTGTCACTTAGCAGGCAGTCTCTCGTATAGGAGGTGGGCGCAAGAGGCTCCCTGACGGTCCTAGCAGTGGCAACCAGCGTGGTCGTCCGGCTGCGGGTGGTGCCGAGAACCCCCTGCTCGTGGAGTAGGTGGGCCTGCCTTCGCCAGTTTCTTCTGAGTCGTCCGTTAGGTTGTCGTCCAGGTTGGGTGTGGGACAACCATGACTGTAGGGCCGTAGTGTTAGCGAGATGGGCGGCGGGCTCCCATGTGGGCTCGTCGTAGCCCACCCAATGAACAAGGTATTCTATTTGCCTGCGCCTTATTCTCTCGTCCGTGATGTCTCGTACTGTCCACTCTAAGTGTTCCTCATTGTTTTCGTTATCTTGTACGACTGTAGCAGTTGGGTTGGTGTCGTCCGTCTGCTGCGATGGGAATGGGTCGTTAGCCGCCGGACGGAGCTTGTCTACATGGTAAGTCTTTGTTTCCCATGGCACGGCTAATTCCACCCAGTAAGGGTCTCGTACGCGAGCAACCTGGAACTTGGCGCTTTTCCAATCAAGTTTCTTACTACTTCTAGCCGTACGTACATCGCGTAAGTCTAGCCATACCCAGTCTCCTACGCGGTAGGTGGGCGCTGGTCTGCGGGACTTGTTAGCTTGTCGTTCTTGTTCTTGTTGGGCGTAGGTCATGGCAGATATAGCCCAGTTAGCAGCATCACTAATCGTCCGGACAATCTCCTTTGCAGCTTCTCCTACTTCGTCGGCTTGCGTGACCGTTTGGGGCTGGGGGAAAGGAGTGTTATGGTAACCATGGTGCAGGAAGAAAGGTGAAACTCCTATTGTCGTGTTCGTACGGGAGTTGAGCATAAGTTCTAAAAGGGGGCAGAGTTGTGCCCAGTTGTCTTGATCGTAGTTGCAGAAGATCCGTACGACTGCTTCTATATCGCTATTAGCGCGCTCTGTTGTTCCGTCCGTCTGTGGGTGATAGG